TGATCTAGCCAATCCTCCACTATTTGTGAAGTGAACCATAAATATGGCTTGCTTCACTTCTTCTCAAAACCTGCAGGCTACCCACTTATCACAGAAGCCAGAGTACAGTCTCCCATCTCCAAGCTCATCTTCCAGAGTTTAACCCCTGTTCTTTGGACAGGGCCAATGTATTTGTTGGCAGACAACTGGAGAAAGCACAATTTCCCTATAATCATTCTGAATTCCTCCTTTGATATCCATTTACAATTTTGTCCCTCATGCTCCAGGGTCTACAATTTCATCTGAATCAGATTCAACTCTGATAACCCTGGGAAGCCACAACACTGCTAGAGGAGAAAGATTTATACACAATTCTTTTATACATATGTATCTATTTATTGATTTCAGAGAGGAAAGGAGACAGAGAGATAGAAATATCAATGATGAGAGAGGATCATTGATTGGCTGCCTCCTGCATGCCCACACTGGGGATCAAGCCCACAATCCAGCACATGCCCTGACCAGGAATCGAACTATGATCTCCTAGTTCATAGGTCCACGTTCAGTCACTGAGCCAAGCCAGCTGGGCATATACACAATTCTTTTTCATAGCAAGAAGGAATCATTGAAATAACAGTACTTTCTAAGAGCTTTCTGCTCTCTGTTTGAGGTCATCTTGTTAGTCTTGACTCTCGATTAGTTGTCTGTTTCTAATCAATGCATGTTTAGTAGAAAGTTAACAAAACAAACACAGTCCCTAATGATAATACTGTCCTTGGGTTGCAATAAAATACCCATATGGTCACTTGCATGTTTCTTAATTTTCAAAAGTGTCTAGGAAAGGACTGTGGAGATGGTGAGTGTTGGAGTGTGGCAGGAATCTTGTGAGGGCTGGGAACAAGGGACTTTCTTCAGAATGCTTATCCCAAGTCTCAGAGCATGAATTTGATGAGTACATCTGTCTCAAAAATTCTGCCTTTCTTTTCTGTATTTATCATAATTTGATTTCTGTTGGGGAGGGACGTTCTAAGATAGGATTCAAGCAGAAAGTAAGGCTAAATCACAGCAATTCCCCTTCCAATTGCTTTTCTATAATGTGCAAGACGGTGAACCATGTATTCCTAGTTTATCTTGTCTCTTATACCTGCTAATTAGCCATAACACAATTCATAACCCTTGAAATATAACCATAATAATCTTGCTCTTCTTTTTAGTATTAACTGGACATAGCAATCATGGACTGTGGTAGGCAACATCTGAAATGCCCCCGCCCCCACAATTATCTCTACCTTCTGTGTAATCCCCTCACCTTGAGTGTGGTCTGGATCTAGTGACTTGTTCTAACTCATAGAATATGGCATAAAATGATAAGCTGTGACTTCCAAGAATAGGTTATAAAAGGCTATGATTTCTGCCATGCTCTTACTCCCTCACATGCACTCTCATTTGCCCTCTCACTCTGATGAAGCCAGCTGCCATATTGTGATCTACCCTGTGAAGAACCCCACAAGGCAAAGAACCAAAGGAGGACTCTGAACATTAGCCAGTAGGTTACTGAGGCCCTCAGCCCAACATCTCATAAGGAACTGAATCCCAACAACCACCATGTGAGTGAACTTAGAAATGTATACTTCTCTAGTCAGGCCTTCAGATGAGACTACAGGGCCAGACCTGTGAGAGATCCAGAGCAGAGGACCCAACAAAACCCTTCCAACAGAAATTATAAGATAATGTGTTGTTTTAAGCCACAAAGTTTTGGGCTAATTTGTTATGCAGCAATAGATAGCTAATGTACATACTCTTACTCAGTGGTGCCACTAATTTGACATAGCAACAAACATATCAGCTCTCTACCAGTCCCAATGGCATTCCATCACCCTCCTGAGTGAAGCCCATCCCATTCTGTGTGCCTTTCTTTCTAATACCATTCAATTTTCATTTCCAGTTTTCTTGGCCTGCTCTTTATTCTACTTTGCCACCACTCAATATCCTGTCTGCTGTTAGCATCTCAATAACTCATAGCATTTTCCTTTTTCCTTATCCTCAATTGCTGCAGTCTTTTGCAGCAAGTGTTCAGGAATCTGGAGAAGAGGCTATGACATAAACAGAATACTAGACAAGAAATATAAATTTGGAAGGCCTGGGGAACCAGGTGGATCACTTCCCTCTAGTGGAGAAGCTCTCTGAATCTCTGGACCCACAGCTTTTTATTTACTACAATATACATTTGCCCTTCAGCAAAGCAAACACACATCAATGGTAAGGTTTGGTAAACAATAAAGGATTAGCAGGTTAGGGGAGTTGCCTGCAGCTGTTCAGACAGCAGCAGGTAATAATATGCAGATTTTCAGCCCTGCTGAATATCAAAGTCCATCAGCCTTCTGACGAACTTTGCATTTATTATGCTAACTACTGTTGGTCTTTGCCTCTAGCACTCAGTAAGTCTCATCACATTCTTCCACAATAGATGCTCAGTAAATGATTGTGGATTGATTTAAATACAAGTATTTATATCAAATTATTTGCTTATAAGATTAATTGAATACCTATTACATGCTCGGTCTTAAGGATGAAATGATGAATAGAAAGAGACACCAGCCTTTCCCTTATGGAACTTGCCATCTAGAGAGGGAAAATGATATCGTTCCTAGTCAATTACACAGCAAATGTGTTAGGTATTAGTTTTCCTGAAGGAGAAGTAACGGTGCTACAAGAAGATTAGAAATAAAGAGATTTTTGCCTAGTGAGGGAAATCATGGGGAGATTCTGAAAAAGTAATAACTGAGAGAAGTCCTCAAGGGTGAGTGGGAGTTAATGAGCTAATGTGAGCAGAGGGTGGGGACAGAGGGAGGAGGGAAGCATTCCAGACAAAGGGAACAGTATGTGCAAAGTAGTGTCTTTAAAGTACTTGAAAGAGCCAGTGAGTCTTGAGATTAAAGAGCAAGAAGGAGTGCAATGTGAGATCAGTGGAGAGGCATGTGAGGGCCAGACATAATTCTATCTTATTCTAGGCCAACTTTGAATAGTGGGTATTTCAGGAATGTCCAGAAAGTTTAGGTACTACATCTACATTCTCTTGATAATATTACAGCCAAGCACATCTCAAATATTCTTTGGCCCTATTTTAGGGAGTTGTTTTTTGAAACTTGCTTTGATGACACCCTTAAAAGACATCAGGACCATGAAAGAATGAAAATACATGGCCCTTGACTGCAAAGAGTGTGTGTTCTAGTTGGGGACTCACCACAGACCAAACTTAGCAACAACAATACAATGCACATAAATTAATAAACCAAATCCCTAAATGTCATAGGAGAACTCACAATTAAATAGCCCTACAGGGAAAAGGGAGGTGAGTGAGGAGTAAAAGCCCTCTCAAAGATGTGCTGTGGCACAGTCTAGATCAGTGATGGCGAACCTTTTGAGCTCGGCGTGTCAGCATTTTGAAAAACCCTAACTTAACTCTGGTGTCGTGTCACATATAAAAATTTTTTGATATTTGCAACCATAGTAAAACAAAGACTTATATTTTTGATATTTATTTTATATATTTAAATGCCATTTAACAAAGAAAAATCAACCAAAAAAAATGAGTTCGCGTGTCACCTCTGATACGCGTGTCATAGGTTCGCCATCACTGGTCTAGATGATGAGAGAGAGGAAGAGTTCTCAAAAAATAGAAATGGAGACAAAGTTCTATGAGACTAATGGAAGATAGCAAAACAAGAAAGAACCAGGGATACTTCTATTCCCTAGAAGTGATGAATGGCCTAAAGCCGTTGTTTTCTTTGGGATGCTGCAGCCATTCTTACTTTATATGGGAATTATAGATGATGGCAAGCAAGCACATGCAACTCACATGCCTGGCACAAGGTGACACTCAATAGGCATTTTGAACAATTTGGTGAAGGTTCATTCATCATACAGTAGATCCTTCACCCGCTGAGGGGACAAGAGTTTTCCAAAGGAGGAATCACAGAGTTTCTGAACTCAAAGTGTCCTGGAGTCCTGGAGAAATTCTGTCTTTCTCTCCTTTTCTCCCCAACTTCAAGATGCAGCCAACTTGTGTGGATGGTTCCGAAGACTTCCTGTAAGGCTAGGCAGTCTGGGCAGAAGAGACAATATGTGAGCCCATCATTGAACTCCTACTCATTAACACTCTGGCCATATGTGTGCAGGGATCTTGGGCAACCTGGACAGTATTCAGTGGTTCTGCCTATAGGATTATAGGTTCAGATGCAACCATCCATGAAACAAAAACTTGAATAGCAAATTACAAATATGCTGTAATTTGTAAAAAATAAAAAATAAATACTCACATGGAATTTTCAGGCACATGCAGATTTTCACTGATTAAAAGCAGCTACTGTTTTAAAATAAAATACTGTATTCCCAGCATGCTGTATGTTTTATCTCACTCAATTCACACACAAAGTTGTTTAAGATGGTGCCATTATATTTTACAGGTGGAGAGACCACGAAAGAGGGAGTAGCAGAGGTAGCGTTTTAACTCAGGTGGATTACCAACTGCTCAACTCCCAGTCATTTCTTCTGTAAAGCTTGTGTGTGCTCCCTGTCCATTAAGCCCCCACCACACTTTGAACCCACTAATGGTATAAACTAAAAATATTATATGGTAATTATTTAGGATTTTGTGAGACCTTCTTTAAGAGCATTTTTAGCATGTGTCTGGCACATGGTGGACCCTCCAATATTTGTAGAGTAAATGGGCTAATTTTAGCAAAAATAATAGTAATTATGCTAAAGAGCCAACCGGAGACTACTTCTCCCTCTCCTCTCCTCTGATTCCAAAAAGAATATACCTCTTTAAGACAGGTACCCAGCCTCTTTTGTAGCTGCCTCAGGGGTTTAGAGACCCCTGGAAGCCAGAACCCTCTACCCTACAGTCTACCCCACCCTCCCCCCCAGGAAGCCTCATCAGATCATCCTGGTCTGAGCACAGAGCCTGGGTCCCTAAATATACATTCTCCGGCTTGTGTAGAAACTTGTTTGTCCTGGAGCGAGACTCAAGAATGACTTAGCGTGACTCAGTGAGAGCTCAGAAAAGGGAGGGCTGTTGTGGTTTCTCCTCTTCCTGTGGAAAGGTCAGCTGATCCTTGGCCTGGGCTCCAAGCTGCCAGTTTGACATCCCTGTTCATTCACTTGGCCCACAGCTCCTCCTTCTCTTCCCTCAAGGCCAGGATGACGCCTCCAGGGATTCAGAGCACATTTGAATCATAGCAGGAGGTCGAGAAGGAGGAAATGAGAGGTGAGGACAAATTTTCCTTTCCTTGGCTGAGTGGGTAATAGGCCCAGTTGTCATAATAACCAGCAGTCATTGGGCATGTCCGGAATGCCAGCCACTGTGTGAAGGGCTGTAACGCACAATAAATGTTAACTCATCCTGTTATTGAATGCTTACTCATTCTATTACTGAATGCTTACTCTGTACCAGACACTATTCCAAGAGATTTTACAAGTATTAACTCATTCAGTCCTCACTACAACCTGATGAGGTGGGTCCTATTATCATCATCATTTAACAAGTAAGAAAAAGGAGGCAGGGAGAGAATGATTAACTTCATCAAGGCCACTGATCTGGACTGTGGTAAAGAGGGCTTTGAACTCAGACATCCCGGGTTCAGAGCCCATCCATTTAACTACTTAACTATAGAGCTAATCCTTGCAAAAGTTTCTGCAGTGGTTACCATTCTTCCCATTTTGCAGATGAGGAAGCTGAGGTTCCAAGGCTGTTAAATGACTGGGTTAGATGTAGAAGCAATTAACTGGGGTAGGAAAAAGGGGACTTTGTTCTGGCTACAGAGCCTGAGCTCATTCCCTAGCACCATGCTGAACTGAAGCTCCAATAGGGTTTCTGGCAGAAAATATTTACAAATTGCCAGATGGGCGGCATGGTCAGGGACTGTTCTCTAGAAGATTCTAAGGCTGCTGACTTTGTCCTTACAGGACACCTTATTCTCAGGATGGCTGTGGCCACCACCCACCAACAGACCTAATGCCCTTCCTCAAAACTCTCACAAACCTGAGGCCATCCAGCCTGGCTCCCAGTCAGTGGGGTCTCTGATACTCACTTCGGGACCCAGGAGGACCAGGGCACAGGACCTGTCTGTGCTCCACCTCCTGGCCCTACACTCAGACTGAGAAGCTGGGATGCCAGATGAAATTGCCCATGTGTACTGCCTTCCTCCTAGTTCCCAGGCTCCTCCGTTGCTTTTGAGGAGGTGAAGTAGATGGCTGCCTCCTGAGGAGCATCCGTTGTCCTTGTCCAAGTGCACATGGTTTTCAGTACTGCAATTTGCAACTACTTTATAGGCTTGGCTGGTGCCTGGTCCTTGAGAAAGGGTCAATGACTAGGACGAAAAGGTGCCACTAGCTTACGTTGTGCCTCTGGGAGAACCACTTTTTGATTCCCATCCAAGCATGTGGTTTGAGTTTCCTTGGCCAGAAACGGTGACTGGAGCCCAATCTGCTCTGTGTCCATAGGAAACTTCACCGAGGTTTACGTATGGAAAGCATTTGGGGCAGTGTCAGTCTTGGCTAGGGGGACAGGTGGGAAGCAGCCGGCAGTTCTTCTCTCAGCTGCCAGACTGCAGAGAGAGGCCCTCGCCTCCTTCCACAAGGTGTTTCCAATAAAAGGGGTTCACTTCCTTCATTAGAAACAAAACAAACACATATTGATAATGGCATGGCATTTTTTTAGGAAAAGAGGAAAACAGTTTTCAAATGTCCTTGGTGACCACCTCTGGTGCACCTCTCAGAAAGGCTGGTGCGGGAGGAGAGAAGTGTATCTATGGGGAAAACAAGAGGCGCACCCCCACAATTTCACCACTAAGCCTGGATCCCCAAACAAGAGGGTAGACAGTGTCTGCTTAGCTGCACCATAAACACCCAGGCTTGAGGAGACAGAGCCTAGCCTCCCTATTGGGCAGATGAGGCCCAGAGCCAGGGAGGCCAAAGAGCCTGGCCAGCAGTCAGGAAAGAACTGCAGCTAGAACCCGCAATGCCTAATCACAGTAAGCCCTGATTTATGGCAAGTTTTGTTTCACAGCACCACCTCACCAATTGAATATGCATTTACAATCATGTGCCACTCAATGACAGGGGTACATCTAAGAAATGCATTGTTAGGTGATTTCGTGGATGTGTAAACATCCTAGAATGCACTTACACAAACCTAGGTGGTCTGGCCTAGCACTACAGGTAGGCTGTATGGTATAGCCTACCATCCTAGGCTACAAGCCTGTCTGGCATCTCATTGTACAAAACAACACAAAATTAAATCAAGCACAAGTGAAAATGATGCAATCAAGAGTCTCGGTAATCATGAGATATGTGAGGCTGCTGCCAAAGTGGCATAGCACACTGCTTACAGCAAACATTTTTTATAAGTAGAAAGAGTACACTCTAATAATTAAAAGTATAAACCAGTAACATAGTCACTTATCATTATCAAGTATTATGCACCTTACATAACTGTAAATGCTATACTTTCATATGACTGGCAGTGCAGTAGGTTTGTTTACATCAGCATCACCCTAAACACAAGTAATGTTGGCTATCACATTAAAATGGCTACACCAGCACTAGGTTATAGGAATTTTTAAGCTCCACTACAATCTTTAAAATATATATATATACTAGAGGCCCAGTACACAGCCCGGCCTGTGTCCTCCCTCAGTCTGGGACCTCTTGGGGGATGACGACCTTCTGGCTTAGGCCTGCTCCCCGGGGATGGGGTCTAAGCTGGCAGTCAGACATCCCTCTGGCAGCCCGGGAGCCCTCAGGGGATGTCTACTTGCCAGCAGGGAGCAGGCCTAAGCTGTAGTCAGACATCCTTACCGCTGTGGAGGCAGGAGAGACTCCCACCACCACCACTGTACTGGCAGCCTTCAGCCTGGCTTGTGGCTGAGCAGAGCTCCCCCTGTGGGAGCACACTGATCACCAGGGGGAAGCTCCTGTATTGAGCGTCTGCCCTCTGGTGGTCAGTGTGTGTCATAGTGACCAGTCATTCCCAGTCGTTCTGCTGTTAGGGTCAATTTGCATATTACCCTTTTATTATATAGGATAGAGGCCTGGTGCACAGGTGAGGGCCGGCTGGTTTGCCCTGAGGGTATCCCGGATCAGGGTGGGGGTCCCGCTGGGGTGCCTGGCCAGCCTGGGTGAGAGGCTGATGGCTGTTTGAAGCTGGTCACACCCCCTTCAGGGTAGGGGTCCACACTAGGGTGCCTGGCCAGCCTAGGTGAGGGGCTGATGGCTGTTTGCAGGAAGGTCAAGCCCCCCCCAGTGGGGACCCTCACCCCATGGAGGTTTGGTCAGCCTGGGTGAGGGGCTGATGGCTGTTTTTAGGCTGGCCACACCCCCTTTAGGGTGGGGGGTCCCCACTGGGGTGCCTGGCCAGTCTGGGTGAGAGGCTGAGGGCTGTTTTCAGGCTGGCCAAGCCTTCCCGGCAACGGAAGCTCCCAGCCTCTCCTTTTTCTTCTTTTTTCTTTTTTATTCTGGGATTTATTTACCTTCTATAATTGAAACTTTGTAGCCTGGAGTAGAGCTCAGAGCCAGCCAGGATGGGCCTCCTGCTCGCTCCAGCTCCATGGCCATGGCCGGCTGAAAGCAGGTATCTGGAGTTTATTTACCTTCTATAATTAAAACTTTGTTGCTTTGAGTGGAGCTCAGAGCCGGCCGCGGCAGCTGGGAAGCTTGGCTTCCTCCATCATTGGGGCAACCAAGCCTCCTGCTTGCTCCAGCTCCGTGGCTGATGGCTGCCATCTTGGTTGGGTTAATTTGCATATAGTCGCTCTGATTGGCTGGTGGGCATGGCTTAAGGCATAGCGAAGGTATGGTCTATTTGCATGTTTGTCTTTTATTAGTGTAGATATATCTACACTAATAAAAGAGGAGCATGCAAATTGACCATCCCTCTGCTACACCCACCAGCCAATCAGAGCTATATGCAAATTAACCCAACAAAGATGGCGGTTAATTTGCATACACAGGCACAGAGTGAAGACTGAAGACACCGTAGAAGGAAGCCAAGCGCTGCAGAAGGGAGCAAAGCAGTGGAGCAAAGCAGCGGAGAAGGGAATGGAGCCAAGGCCGCGGAGATGAAAGTGGAGCTGAGGCAGCGACATGGTAGGGAGTGAGGCAGTGGCAAAGGGAGGGAGCAAGGCAGCAGAGACAGGAGGGAGCGAGGCAGCAGAGAAGGGAGCAAAGTCTGCCTCAGCGGGCTTCGCAGCCTCAGAAAGCCCTGTTCTTGCAGGAATAGGCCTGAGGAAGCCCTATTCTTGCAGGAATCTTTCTGCAACGGGCCTCTAGTATAAATATATATAGTGTGTGTGCTCCCAGACCATGTATGTGCACACCCTTCTGCAGAAGTAGAGATATTTGCCTGACTTCTGGCTCCTGAGTATGCTTTGTGTTCTACCTGGACCTCTAAATTTTGGGGCTCACCTTATTCCTAACATTATTTATACAAGTCTTTCATAAGATATGTATCTATAAATATTTTTCTCTATCTGTGGCTTGTCTTTATTCTCTTGACAGAGCCTTTTAAAAGCAGGAGTTTTAAATTTTGATGTAATACAATTTGCAATATTTATTTCTTATGGATCAATCTATTGATGCCATGTCTAAGAAATCTTTGCCAATTCTAAGGTAATAAAGATTTTTCTTCTTAAAAAAATAAAAAATATATGTATTTATTAAATTGATTGGGATGTCATTGGTCAGCATGAACATAGAGGCTCTGGGCTTCTATGTTACAATCTCTGTATATTGCACTGTGTGTCCACCACCCAAAGTCAAATCTTCTCCTGTCACCATGCATTAGGACATCCTTCATTGATGGAACGTTGTTATGTAGCACATGACTATACTCATGTGTGATTGATGCTGTAAGGCATTGGATCTCAACTGGGATTCATGTGATAAATGCCTGGAATGCTTTGAAAAGCATCAATAATACCCAAAACTCATACCCTGAGATTCTATTTAATGGGAGTGGCATGAGGCCATAGCCTGGGTATTTTTAAAAGCTTTATGGGTTGAAAGTTCATGGGTTGAAAGTCACCAGATTGAGAGCTACTACTTTATGTGGTACAAAGATGAAAACAATGAATTTGCTTTCTCCCATGAGTTCACAGGGAGACAGGCAGATATGTAAATAACTCAGGCTCCAGTGCTAGGTGCTATAGAAGATCTGAGAAGGATGTGTGATCCTGACTGAACCATCCTATCTTCACCCAGAGCACTAATTTGGGTAAGTAAACTACTGTTTATTCCTCCTAAGTAAAGCTTACTTGCCTTTGCAGGCCTATCTTAAATCACTCCTCTTCCCTAAGGCCTTTTAAATAAGACACCAAATACAGTTGGTGTGCCTCTTCTCCGAACTCCTACACTATCAACAGGCTGTAGGCAAACAATCCAGGGCTAAATTATATGTGATTTCTATTGTTACTTTAGAGTAATCATAAAATGAAAGCTCCCATTTATTCAGGGCATATTATATGCCAGGCACTCTGCTTTATGTTTCCCATACATTGCTGCTAACATTCGCAGGAGCTCTGTGATGCAGGCATCGATATACCTATTGTACAGATTAAGAAACTGAGACTCATCGATGTCAAGTACCTTGCCCCAACCCGACAGCTAGTAAGGACATATGAATCTAGGTTAATATGCCTCTGAAGTTCTTTCAAGTGCATCATTTTATATCAAATTTAAACACTCTTTATTATAACACTAGAGACCCTTTGCACGAAGATTTGTGCAATAGGCCTTCCTTCTCCTGGCTGCTGGCACCGGTTTTCCTCTGGCACCCGGGACCTAGGCCTTTGGTCCAGCCACAGCAGAGAAGCCAAGCCTCTTCAGTCTTCAGTCCAGTCATCTTCAGTCTTTGCTCCACACCTGCATATGCAAATTAACCACCATCTTTGTTGGGTTAATTTGCATACTCACCCTGATTGGCTGGTGGGTGTAGTGGAGGGACGGTTAATTTTCATGCTTCCCTTTTATTAATGTAGATGTATTCTTCACACATTGTTTTGTAAGCTATAAACTTCTTTGCTATTCATTCTTTTATTTAATCCTGAGAATACCCTTGCTATCAGCTCTGTTTGACAAGCGAGGGAATAAAGACTGGAAAAACTAGGTAAAATGCTCAAGATCCCATAGCCTGGCCATGATCCCAGTTGTTCTTATTCCAAACGCAGGGCTATTTCAACTGTTTTCATATGCCATGTGCCAAACTCTGTTCCTCATTGACCTGAAGTCCCTTGAGGGTTTTATGCTACGCCTATATCCCCGAGAGATCCCAGAAATGCAGCCTGTTGCTTTATTAACTGATATGCCAAGAAGTAGTAAGAATGTTCTCATGAGGCATCCCAGCCCTAACGACCTGAAGAACAAAACCCGGGGAGTTCTTTGGGGGCTGGAAAGAACTGTTGAGGTGGAATGACTGGTTCTTTTAGTGCCATGACTAAGTTATATTATTTTTAAAAAAGGCTTCCAGTCACTATTTTGGAAGGTATGATTCCCCAGTATCTACATTAGTTAGCAGAAGCAAGCAGCAATGTGAATTAAGTGACCAGTGGAAAACAGAAAGACAACTTCCATCGCCTCCCCCACAGTCTCTTATTTGAGTCCCAGTCACCTCCGTATGACATAAAAGCATCTTTTTATTTATTTAGTCACATCCCACCTCATTTTCCAAAGGACTCAAGTGGTTTGAAATAGAGGAATAGATACAATAAACAGAGATAAAATATAAACAAGTAATGACAACCCAGGCTGGGGAAAATGTAAATATAAAAAGTTAAATCCAAGGAAAAATACTTTATTAGTCACAGAGAAAAAACTGCCTAAAGCCCTGAAGATTGCAGTGCATTTAAAATAGACCTTTCGTGTGTGGGGTTCAGTTAATGAGGTCTTTAAGAACTCAGTAACTCCTGTGTGGTTTTACTTCATGCTGGATATTGACACAAAATAATGATTAAAGCAGTGAAACAATAGAATTTCTCCCCAGGATGTGGTCAACACACTGTATTCATGCATCACTGGTTAAATGGTAGATACATTTTCTAAGTCTAATGTTGCCAAAAGACCACGTCAATGCTTTGTGCAGAAGAGAACTTTCATTGTCTGAATCATGCTCATTCATTCATTTAGCAGATATTGTGACAACAAAGTATCTTCCAGGAACCATGCAATTCACTGGAAATTTGAAGGCAAATATGGTCTGGGTCCCTTCCCGTAGAGTATCTCTCTCTAGAGGAGAAGACAGGCTTGTTAATAGAAAATCAGCATGATTGTAATAGTGTGATCCCAGGGGTATGCATAAGAACTATAAATGCAGTCACGGGGACAACTGCTTCCCTGAAGCCGACAGGTGTATCTTATCTTCTAACCAACACACATCCAGTTACCAGGACACTGGGGTTCCGAGTTGAGGGAGCTTTCCTTAATCAAGTGCACCTGGGGGAAGCTTAGAATAAATAACTTACCTTTGCAACTTGTTAAATATCTCTGTATTTTTTATTTAATTGTGTGGAGAAATGAGGTATGAAAAAAAAAAAAAACAGCAGAAAAAAGAAATGTATGGAAATACTGTAGAAAATATTTTGTCCTATCCAGGTTAGTGAGGTGGATCTTGGCGTGGCATAGGGGTTTTGTTTTTGGCAATCCTCCATTGGAGAAAGGTACCTTCAGAGACACAGTCAACTTTCTAGCAGACCATGCATCCACTCAAACCACCTAGTACCACATTTAAAACAAAAATATGGCAATTTGAGAGAGATGAGGTTGGCAGGTTTGTCTGCTGCTGATCAGCACCAAAACCTGGAAGACAGTAACAAAAGTGACCAAGTCTTTTAAGCCTGCAGAGCTCTGGGGCTGACTCAAAAATTTGGAGCAACCTGTTCTGGCTGACCTGCCTGAAAAATACTTTCATGGCCATAAAAAATTTGGAAGCACTTTACTAAACAATATGGGGGAAAGCAACCTGTGTTGAAAGTTTGCTGAGACTGATTCCAGTCGGTGGGTCTGGAGAATCCCCAGAGCAGGGCTCCATGGAAAATCAGTACATTCCTGGTGTTAGCTCAAGGCATGTGCTGACTTTCTACAATAGAAACAAAGAAGATAAGATAACTTTTAGAGAAAACAACCTGCTATTTTCTCCTTATATTAACTCATAAGATGGAAAGAGGGGGGGAAAAAACAACAAACAAAGTTAAGAAATAATGAATCCTGGAAACTCAGGGAATCCGCTAAAATAAAGACTTGTAGTGAGTAGTGTGCACACTCGTGACCAAAAGTAAGCCACCAGGAACTAGAAAAACTGAACTCAAAAACTGAGTGTCTGAGACATGACATTGGGTTAAAACCACAGGCCATGGGAGAACCAGACCCTTGGGCTTTGGATCCCAGCTTCATATATATATAATTCAGTGGTTCTCAACCTTCCTAATGCCGCGACCCTTTAATACAGTTCCTCATGTTGTGGTGACCCCCAACCATAAAATTATTTTTGTTGATACTTCATAACTGTAATTTTGCTACTGTAATGAATTATAATGTAAATATCTGATATGCAGGATGTATTTTCATTGTTTGTGACCCACAGGTTGAGAACCGCTGAATATATATATATATATATATCCTATCTAATAAAAGAGAAACATGGTAATTAGCCATACATCTGCTACCCTTCCCATTGGCTAATCAGGGTGATATGCAAATTAACTTCCAGCCAAGATGGCGGCCGGCGGCCAGGCAGCTTGAAGTGAACATGAGGCTTGCTTGCTTCAGTGACGGAGGACTTCAACGTTCCCCGCCTGCCGCTGCTGGCCTCTGAGCTTGCAGTTTGAAACATTGTTACAATATAGAAGCTAAACAAAACCCCAGAAACCTACTTTCAGCCAGCCGGGATCTCAGAGCTGGAGTTGAAACAGTGTTTCGATTATAGAACCCAAACAAACCAGATACCTGCTTTTAGCAGCAGAGGCCTAAGAGCTGGAGCCAAGCCTCAGAGGTAAAGCTGGCCCAGAATAAAAAAAGAAAAAAGAAAAAAAGGAGCGGTTGGGAGCTTCAGTCACCCGCCAGCCCCAAAACAGCCCTCAGCCCTCACCCAGACTGGCCAGGCACCCCAGTGGGGACCCCCACCCTGATCCAGGACACCCTTCAGGGCAAACCAGCCAGCCCCCACCTGTGCACCAGGTCTCTATCCCATATACTAAAAGGGTAATATGCCTCCCAGCAACGGGATCAGAGGAGCCGAGAGGCCTCCCGGCACCGGGATCAGCATGACAGGGGGCAGCGCCCAAACCCCCTGATTGCCCTGTGGCTCTGTGTGTGACAGGGGGCGGGGCCACAACCTCCCTATCCGCCCTGCTCTGTTCGTGACAGGGGAAGGCACCCCAACCCCCTGATCAGCCCTGCTCTGTGCCTGATGGGGGGAGCTCCCCAACCCCTGATCACCCTGCGGCTCTGTGTGTGACAGGCTGCGGTGCCCCAACCCCTGCTCAGCCCTGCTCTGTGAGTGACAGTGGCAGTGCCCCAACCCCCTGATCAGCCCTGCTCTGTGGGTGATAGAGGGCGGCGCCCCAACTACCTCCATGGGCCCTGCTCTGTGTGTGATGGGGTAGAGCCATAACCTCCCCATTGGCCCTGCCCTGAGTGTGACAGGGTGCGGCACCCCAACCCCCTGATCCGCCCTGCTCTGTGCATGACAGGGGGCAGCACCCCAACTCCCCAATCAGCCCTGCTCTGAGCCTGACCAGGGGCTGCACCTAGGGATTGGGCCTGCCATCTGCCACCTGGGAGCAGGCCTAATCCAGCAGGTCATTATCTCCCGAGGGGTCCCAGACTGCAAGAGGGCATAGGCCGGGCTGAGAGAACCCCCCCTCCCCCCCGAGTGCACAAATATTTGTGCACCGGGCCTCTAGTATATATAGAGGGGCCCAGTGCACAGATTTGTGTGCAAGTGGGGTCCCTTCGCTTGGCCTGCAGGATTGGGCTGAAACCAGCTCTCTGACATCCCCTGAGGAGTCCTGGATTGCGAGAGAGCACAGGCCAGGTCAAGGGACCCCAATGGTGCATTCTCAGGGCTGGGGAGGGATGCAGGAGGTTGGCCAGCCAGGGAGGGACTGCGGGAGGGCTCCCGGGCATGTCTGGCCCATCTCACTCAGTCCCGATTGCCTGACCCCAGCAGTAAGCTAACCTACCAGTAAGCTAACCTACCAGTTGGTGCATCTGCCCCCTGGT